AAAAAAAAAAAAAAACAACCCAAAGTGAAGCATTAAACTACAGGGTAATAAACAATGCCTTCATTTCAGGAAAAAAAACAAAACAAAAAACAAAATCAGGAATGGTCTGGGTTGTTATTTATTTATTCCTTTTTGTGCCTGTGTTTATTGCAATATGTAGTCTGAACCATTAGCTTCCTTTTAGCGTGTCCTGAAAGACACTGCATAGCCTCGCTCCTGTCTGGGGTAACTATCCATAATATTCTGGCTCCTTTGGCAATCACCATAGCAACAAATCATGGTACCCCACGTGAGTTGCATTAGAAGATGTTCCCTAAGACCACAGAGCTTAACGGGGATGGGGATGGGGGATCTCATCTCATGCATTCACGAAAGAAAATTGGAAAAAAAAAAAAAAATGGATTCATAAAAATGTATTCATTTCAAACATATTTGTAAAAAATATATCGTGAATATGCTCGCTCTCCCTCCCCCCTTTTTTCCCCCTCTTCTCTCTGATATGTACACCTTCTCTCTCTCTCTCTTCAGACCTTAACAGGTGCTGATGAGCTGCAGTCAATGATTGTAATGAGCTATTGATCACCGTGGGAAAAAAAGGGACAGAGTGAAGTGAGGAAGAAACACAGGGATAGGGGGGGGTGGAAACCGGAGGGCACAGACATTGACACGCACGCAAAGGGCTATGGATGCCGGGGGAAAGAAAACAAGCGAACGAAATAGAGACGAGCTAGCAAAGACAGGTTATCAATATCTGCTTTAATCAAGTCTCATCTATTGTTCCACTTCATCAAAAAAAAAAAAAAAAATATATATATATATATATATATATATATACTACAGAATAGCACTAGAGTGCCAGCTATTAGCAAAGGATTAGCACACATGCCTGTCATAACCCGGTTCAGGTGCCGACAAATGGCAAGGGTGAGATATCTTATTTTTCTTCCTCGTTTTTGGGGCTCGTGTGCATGAAGTGGAGGCAGACAGCTCTAAGAGAGGGGGGGAGGTGCACTTGTGTGTGTGTGTGTGTCGTGTGTGTGTGTGATGGCTGGTGTTTGAGATAATGAAATGCAGCAGGGAACAAAGAGCTGGGGGCCCCCTCTATTTCTCCGTGCCGCAGCTTCATTTTCACTGCCGTCAGTCTATGATTTTTCCATACCCTCTTTCTTGAGTACACGGAATGTGTGTAAGTGTTTTTTTTTTGGTGTGTTGTCGTGTGTACAGACTGTATACTCCCTCCTCCTCCTCCTCATCCTCCTCCTGTTAGCATTCTGCAAGGCAGATCCCCCCCCCATCGATGTAATAACTGTGTCTGCAAGTCTAATTTACAGCAGGAGAAAGTAAATAGCCTATGGTTAATTACAGTACGAGTGTGTGTGTGTGTTTGTGTGTATGCGCTCGCGTCTTCATGCATGTGGGTGTGTCAGAATGATTTATGAGTTGCAAATAGCGACACCAGTGGCTCGTTTCTCCTCACTTAGTTTTTAATCTGTCTTCCCGCTGATTTTTTCTTTTTAGCAGACGTTATTAAGGTTCTCTACCGGTACACGGTGCTGCAGGACGCACGTGTACTTGATATGTAATAACACAAGGTCTGGATGTTTTCGTGAAGGCCCGAGGCGCTACACACCTGCTTTGCTAGTGGGGTTCTGTTGCGTGGTCACCTCACTACATCCCTTTTTAGCCACCCTCCTTGCTGCTCCCTGCACTCTCTTCATTGAGAGCCACAAGAAACACAGATCTCTATTGACAGTACACGGGAGAACATGGAAACAGCAGGTCAATCTGTTTAGCCCAAGGGCCGATACACCAATTCACCAATTTGTCAGTGTTAGTTTGAGAGAGAAAAGCAGCTAATCTCTCCTCTCTGCTCTTTATTGATCACACACTTAGACTCCACTTCTCTGTCTAAACACTATTGATCCACCTCCCCGCCTCTCTGGGCTAGGTTTAGCACGTTCTCTATTCGACACTTTTCCCTAAAAGCCTGAACATATTTTTTGCGAAATGAAAAAAATAAATAAATAAAAAAAGCGAAATGAAAAAAAATAAATAAATAAAAAAATGCTGTTGATTATGTTAACAGGAAAAACCACAAAACACAAATGAAGGGAATAATGGCGTACTTGTTACCTGACATCCGATGCTGACATTTTTGTTGTTGTCGTTTTTATATGAAAAAGCACAGCTCTTGTTATGTTATCAGACAGTATGACTAAAGCAGTGTTCATATTGTGCTGGACAAACAAACAAAAAGGTATAATTCTTTTTGTCTATTTAAAGTATTTTTCTTATTTTACTATAGAAAATTCTGAATGAAAATGACTCACGGTTAATGTGTGTTTACAACACCATTCACCTTCCTGAACCGAACGAGACGTGTTTATTTTGGACCCAAGATTAGAATCGAATCATCACAATGAATTTAATTGTGTACGATAATGGTTTCTACATTTTAGTTTAGGTCAAACATACGATGTCTTCGAGTTCACCCTTACTCGGCCATAATGCAGGTCTTATTTATATGACTTGCACGCCACCTATTGGTTAAGTTCGCAACCAATTTGCACGTAAAAAACACAACGTAACACCGAATAGGTGTGCATTAGGAGAAAAAGAGAGAAAGAAAGAAAGAAAGAAAGAAGGAAAGAAAGAAGTTAGACATGTTTTGAGAGACTTTCTTGCTGGTGGGGAACGGTCCCCAGGCGCCATTTGCGATTACCTTCCCGCGTCATCCAGACTCGGTCAAACGGCTCATTGTTCCACCTCACTTTGACAGAATGTCTACCAACCGCTCAATTTTTCCAACGTTTCATATTCAAGTAACTTTACGATAACAACAATGTAATGTGTGTCAAAGTGACATAAACCAAAAACAACTGAGAGTTAGTGAACGGAAGTTAAAGAACGGATATAATTGGACATTCTTCCTTAATGGTAAGTTGTACGTAATTCTTAGTACTTATACAGTATAATTGTTGCGTTAAACAATTATGAATGTGTGTAACAGGTTATCACACACATAATTATATGTGTGTAATAGGTAAATGCAACTTTTAAGGAAAGAACCACGTAAAAATGCATTTGAATATTTTTTTGTTAAACACCTATTTTATGCTATCAAGTGAATACCACAAAGTCAATGAATGGTTGTTATTAGTGGAGAAATGTGTGCTATTTTTATGACTGAAGAGTCACTTTTGTCTTCCGTATTGTAATTTGGTGTGGACTTCACACCAACGTTTATATAAAAATAATGGGTTTTTTTTCTACAGTATATGAAAAAAATCTATATTAAATATGAGGAGAGAAGGGAAACATGCACAATTTTTCAAGTTTTTAAATAATTTTCAATAATATTAAATTTGGCCCATGTCTTATTCCCAGTTTTTAATTTTGTCCCACTGTGATTTTGAGTTTGACACCCCTGGTATACAGTATAGGACCAATCTGTCAAGTTGTTATTACTACTGCTCAGCATATTGCAGCTACAAGGACCCGTTTACAATAAAGATGGCTGCTAATTATCAGATTCAGAATCAGCTCATAGTTGTGTATCAATGAAAGAAACTGTGCAATAAGTTACATCAGTCAACATTATAAAAAAAATAGAGTACATGATTTTATTTGATATGTAGCTATTTTACTAAATTATTATTTAATTTAAATAACATGGAAACTGTTGCCATGTTGCTATTAAGGATGGTTAATGAAAACTGGTTCGTAGCACGGTTCCATAGTGTAGCGGTTAGCACGCATGCCTCGGAAGCAGAGAACAGAGAGTCCTGGGCTTAATAATGTTAATCCTCCTCTGTATTTGGATAAAACGGTCTGCTAAATGCATAAATGTAATAGAAGAATGTTGTGATTTTTTTTAAGCTAGCGAAGAATCTCATGGAATTTTTTCAGCTCGCTAGCTGCGATACACTTTTGTTACTTTTCTCATGGAATTTTTTCAGCTAGCTAGCTGCGATACACTTTTGTTACTTTTAAGTGCTGGTGTAATACTCAGGAACTAATATTTGCTTTCATTTGATCAAAATTAACTACTGAGACCGAGATTTGCTTAACATGAAATAGCGTACAGAGCAGGAATCAACACAAAGAGGGACCTCAAATAGGGGATGCACTGGGCTCAATACTTACATTCTAATATTCTCATACTTGTACTCAAAATTGTGTGCCAATCCTGACTGCTTTTAACTTCAACGAGTTTAACAGTACATCGGTTAAATAATGTTTTGGCTGGTGTGACCTATCCTCCTGAGCGACTTACAAGCCAGAAAATACGGTAGGTTCTGTATAAATTGCAGTGTTCAAGAATAAAGAAACAAATCCTAAACCAATCTTCTTTTAGACCAGAAAATATGGTAGGTATACTTGCAGTGTTCAAGAATAAATAAACAAATCCTAAACCAATCTTCTTTTAGGTTCGTTATAGAACTACTCAACATCATTTCAATAAAAAGTACGAGCCAAGACCATTTTCACCAAACACTTGTCTTCCCATATGAATCGTGATTCACGGTGGTCATGAGTCAACTCATTGATGTTGTATTTTTTTTATTCATTGGAAAATAAATAAGATAGCAAATATATAAGTAACAATTTAATTTTCATTGTACAGTAGCTTTTTATTAGTAAAGCTTACTGTACATGAGTAATTATAATTTGAGGAAAATGTTTGAATCACCGTGAAGAAACTCTGTTTGAAATTGAAACTGGAATGCTTAAACAGTATGATCAACTGTAAAGGAGGATTCAGATGTACGCCGAATGACTGTGAACACCAGCCTGAAGACTACCGTTGATGGATAACACAGTGACAGAATTCATCTTTGTAGCTTTAGTTGACACTAAAATAGTGTTAACACAACCAACACGTACCAGGTTCAGCATCTGGTTCTCCCACGTTCACGTGCTTAAATACACAGATTTGAAAACTAATTTCAATTACATAAAGATGATGAGGCTGATAAACACTGGCAATGACGCTTGGACAAGTTCAAGATTTCTTTTTCTGCACTTCAGCAAAACCATTCAACAAAATTCCATAAACAGCTCAGTTAGTGCCCCTGCAGAATACCTGTGAATGTTCCCTTGGATTTGAGTGTACTGTTTGGAGACTAGTGGTCAGAGACTGAATTTCTATTAGCTTCAGACCGACAGGTCAACTAATGCCCGTCTTTAACAAGGGGTTTGGGGAATCCGAACACTCACTCGCTATTCTACAACAACGGCAGGTGAGTAAACATTGTCCGGAACAGCAGCGGTGACTGCACATTGGAGCATGTCATCGATAATAACACATGCTTATGTGATGCATATTCAGCCAATTGTTTTTTTTTTTTAAAGAGGAAAAGCAGGACTCATGGCCCGGAGTTAGGTCAGTCCTCCATGGAGCGGACAAATCTCTCATATGCTGCCTCAGTCATTAGGGTGTCCAGCTCAGCAGGGTCATTAATTGTCATTTTCATCAGCCAACCTGCATTGAACAAGTTACATGTGATTATAGAGTCATTTGCGAGGTGAAGATATAGTTGTCCTTTTAAACATTACACAAGTATTGTGTATTTAATTTTCTCTCTGTTGGAAAACGTGTGCCCGAAAATTGTCTGATTTCCACACAAACCTTACATAACACGGACGTTGCTATTTGTTTGCACAGTATCAATTGGAAAAAACAAAACAAAAAACGTTTAATTCATTTAAGAAACGATTTTCAACTGTAACTTCACAAACGTAGACGACCACTCGCGTAATAGTCCAACACACTGCCGTGGCCCAATTGCACCATCTGCTGGGCAACGGAAAACTACATATACAAATCCGTCCATTATTAGCGTTACCCAATTGAGAAACATTAAAACAACCACAATAAAGACCGGATTGGCCGTAATAGGTAGATTTTAAACCGTAGAATTGTATGTGCAATTCCAGGTTGTGTTTTCTTCTGACATTTTTAATAAGGTTTCTAGAACTTCATCTCTATTAGGTGCCAAAATGGGACACTTTCTAGTGAGGGCCAGAATCCACCAGACTCTGTTAGTAACCATTACAGGACAGAACTTCTAAATGCAGTCAGGACCTTTACCCTCAACTGTTAGATTCAAACTTTGTAATATTTTAATTTAAGTTTATACGTAAAATGTCAGTGAATTACACACAATTACATTAAAATGCTTTCTTTTGTGGGTTGCATTCGTGCTTGGGCTTTACCGTCTTTGTAGCAGGACTTGTTGATCAGACCAGGTTTTTCTGCCAGTTGTTCATTGACCTCTACGACCTCTCCCGTCAGAGGGGAATACAGTTCACTGGCTGCCTTCACACTTTCCAGAGCTCCGAACTCATCTGTGACAAAACGACGGCAAAAATATGACATGTTACGTTGAGATTACCATGTGTCTTTGGTGTCGTGACATCACATGCAATAATTTCTAAAGGATCACATGACTGAAGGGTTGAGCAAGACCTTAGAAGACTCAGTTATTAAAATTTTTCTTAACTAATAATATGTTTCAATTTAATATTCTTAACTTTGGCCTAGGAAGGTGACTCACAGGAAGGTGAGTCCCGGTAACAACCCGGTAACGGATAAGCAGACAAAGATGGATGGAACTTCTAAAATGGCTATTATTTAAATTTAACCGCTCAAGACATCTTTTAGGATGGATGGTCATCAACATGTCACAGTATTAAAGTCATCGTAACACCTTAAAATTGGGGAGGTTTGTGCCAAACCCATACATGCATTTAATTAGGATCCCAACCTATAATATATATAAAAAATATGTTCAAGTTATATGAGCAAATATATATATTTCACATTTTCAATGCGGGTAGGTCACTTTAACCGGGGGTCATTTGAATAGCAGCCCCAAGCTAAAATAGGGTGCTTTGGTCTCAAGAGCTTTGGTGCTCATGACGTGCGAGCTAAATTAAACTGTCTCTTTCTCAGACTGCGTTATTTCAAATAGCAGAATACACATCAATCAGTCAGGCATTGCAATAACAATAATAATAATAGTAATTTTGACTTTATTCATCCCGCATTTGGGAAATTCTTACAGCAGATCTGCTGCAACAGGCTGCCAATTGGAGGCACCAAGTACTGTATATGGTTCCTCTGGAAATTGATACCTCTTACCTTGCTGAGCCAGCTTTTTCCCCACCTCTGGCAGCTCACAGTAAACTACATCTCCCAGAGCCTCCTGCAGGCACAGAAGATAAAAAAAAAAAGAGTCAGAGAAACAGTTAAAACAATAATAAGGACGGATTCTGTTAGTTGATGTGTGTTTCAATATTATTATGGGCGCACAATGGATTTAGCAACCACTGAGCAGAAAAAAAGGTAAATAAAAGTTTACCATCTGTGACAGACGGTAGAGGTGAGATTTATAATTGCTACCAATTGGTTTACACTAGGCATGGCTAGATCAAATACTCAGGAGATGGAAATGGTCCAATTTTGGTGAAAATATCAAGATCGTACATTGAAAAAAAAAAACAAACAAACAACAACAACAAAAAAAAAAACAACAACTACAGCCCGCCCAAACTTAAACCCAAATGCTAAAGTTCACTTTGTGCAACAAGTTGTAAACAGGGAAAAGAAGGTGTGAGATTGATATCGATATCGGCAGATACTCCAAGTTGCAGTATCTGTATCAGAGATTAAAAAGTTAAAAGATAAAAAAGTAAAAAATTTTAAAATTATGATTAATGGAGGGCAACATTTTCCCAGGCAAGTGAGACTTTTGCATGTTTATCCGGAATATTACACAGTTCGGGGCAACATGCATGCCTGATATTTGGGAAAAGGAAACCGTTTGTTTGTTCCTTTCAAATTATTCCCCCAAATTTGACATCGCAAATTACACGTTCAGTATACAATGCTGCTTTTGTTTACGTTGACGTACCGGTTACCTGTTTAAGAAAGACAATTCTGTGCGACCTGAACAGCCTGAATTTGACTTACTTGAGCAAATTTGCTGATACCAACAGTCCCAATTCCACCGTCTTCCACTCGTACCCATTCGTGTTTGTCAGTGAATTTAAGCGCTGCAACAAAACACAATATCAGGTTTAACACTTCTGATATTGTTGAGCAGAGTGCCTACACGAAAGTGTTCATTTTCAGACCCGGTTTAATCACTTCCACTCGTGTCATGTCTACACACTCGCAGCTTCTGCAGCGCTGACATCAATCAACACCGGACACGAAAAAAACATGAGAGATTGGAGCACATACCTGCGGATAACCGCCTACAAGATGCCAGTTTCCTACAGAAATAAAACTTTGGTGTCGGTCGCAAAGAGAGACGTGTCGAGTGGTTGAAGAAAGGTTTAGCGGTAGAGAAATTGGAGGACAAAGAGCGGAAAAGTACTCTGGCAGCCATCTTGGTCGCCTAATGATGACGTTTTTTCCTGTCAACGGTAACCTTGTCGTCACATCACCTGTTCCACCAGCCCACCAATTAATATTTATTTATTTATTTACTCACCTACCTTGAATGTACGCTATAAAGAAAGTTGAAGAAGTAATACATAGCCCACCAATTAATATTTATTTATTTTTATATTATTTATTTATTTTTATATTTATATGATATTTACTTACCTACCTTGAATGTACACTATAAAGAAAGTTGAAGAAGTAATACACCTGTTTTTACTACTCTGTATGCTGTACTGACACATTCGAAGACAAAAACAATACGAGAGAACAAAAGGAAAACTTGTACAATTTATTAGAACCCACTTCCTCTCTCACGTCAACATTTATTTCTTTAAGTAGGGAGGTATTAGTAGCTACAAATACTGTACATATACCTTTATATTTCTTCTAATTTCTAATCCTGTCCATCTTGAGAAAATCTCAGCATCTTCATTTCTCACCTCCAGTTCAGCCTTTTGTCTATTAAATCAACTCTCTATGGTCTCTAGACCATACATGATAGCAGGTCTTACTATTGTCTACACTTCCAATTTTGTTTTTATCCGTCTTTTGCCCAGGAGGTGAACCCTGGGGTTCCACACCAAGACAGAGACATTGCCTCTGGGCCAAAGAGCCACTTCTCTACAGAATAACATTAATAAAAAAAACACGCATATAAATTATTATTATTATTATTATTATTATTATTATTATTATTATTATTATTATTATTATCGACTCTGTTAAAATCTATGGATGTAATTATTTGGATTTCCCAGTAGATGGCGATGGTGAGCCATATCACTCCATAAGTGAGTCGCACCAATCAAGCAACATGCACATATAATGTAAGGCCACCTCTTTAAACGTGAGGCCCTACCCATGGTGCGTTCTGCATATCGCTTTGCTAATACTACATGAATGGTCATTTAACACTGACGTGTTGAGATAGTCCAATATTATCCAGAATATTCAATTTAAAAAAAAAAACATCTGTCATTAAAATCACTATGAATGTTAAAAATACACACTTGATTATTCAAACTTGATGCAGATAACAAACAGAAAATAACCAGCCCTTGAGAAAACAGTGGCATTCTCTACAGTCAGAATTTGGGGCCCTGTCATCAGCCTTGACTTTCGATATGGTCCCCATTTTTTGGCAGGGCTGCGGGGTCGCTCTACAACCAGTGTTTAAGTAACACCGTGACTTTCGGGGGCAGTTTGCGTAATTGTAGGAGCCGTGTATTGTGTCACAGATCCTTATTTTAGTTATTATTATTATTTTTAGTTTTGATTTGTTCGGTCTGGTTGTCACTGTGACATTTGTGTTCCAGTCATGTGGGTGCAGTATACGGAAGTGTTGCATTTACAAGGGCTGTAAATGTATGTACTCACATAGGAGTGAGGCGAGACTATCTTCTTCTTCTTTTCCTTTCGGCTTTTTTCAGGGGTTCAGCAAATCAACGTTTTCCATTTCACCCTGTTCTCTGCATCTTCTACTCTTGACTCCAACTATCTGCATGTCCTCCCTCACTGCATCCTTATATCTTCTCTCTGGACTTCCTCTTTGTCTCCTACCTGGTAGCTCCATCTCATCCAACATTCTTCTACCGATGTATCCACTGTCCCTTCTCTGCACGTGTCCAAACCATCTCAATCTGGCTTCTCTAGCTTTTTCTCCAAACCTTCCTGTCTGTGTTGTCCCTCTAATGACCTCATTCCTGATCCTGTCCATTCTTGTCACTCCTAAAGAGAATCTTAGCATCTTTAACTCTGCCCCCTCCAGCTCCGCCTCCTGTCTTCTGCCTATTGCTACTGTCTCTAAACCATACATCATGGCTGGTCTCACCACTGTCCTGTAAAC